CATCGATCGTAGACTTTATCGTCACTTTCCATCAGGTGAGATGCAAGTCAAATGCGAACTTATTTTTTAATAAAAAATAAATGATAGTGTATTATAATTAGATCGAATATTTCACCAAAACCTGGCATGTGAATATTTTACACACCTCTTTCACTCCTCCATGCTATACAGTTTGATATCACGGTCACTCGCATCACTCCGTGCTATTACCATCACATTTAATTACAGTGTATTATCACCATCATTCGCATCACACAGACTAAAATCACTCAGTGCTTGTTTTGCTACTTAGTTATATTAGGTACTTCATAATATTGCTGCGATATTACGTATTCTTAAAGGAACTGTTACAAGTTTTATATAAAGCAAACATAACAATATAGATTATTCACTATTAAAAGGATTTATATAACCTTTATATTATAACTGAATTAAATAATATCGTGCATCGGTCATATATCACCTCGGGAATATATCAATACGGGAGTATTGTGTCGGACATCGAGTATATAACCAGAAATAGAGACGAAATATCATTTAATTTGTTTGAAAACTATTACTTGCCATGTCATTACTGTGACAACTGCGCTCCGATTGGCTAGACCGAGTTCGAAACAATTGACGGGTGTCGTCAACTATGTCACTTCAAATCGACCAGTTAACTAGAGCTTTGCTATAATGGACGAAAATTGCAAAATTACGTATTTAACATTTCATTACCGATGAAATGTGATTCCGTTTGTTTTGTAATTAGATATTTGCTGTTTTTTCTACACTACCGAATCGAACAGCACGGCATTGTTAGAGATATTATCTTTTAATAAAGAATATTGTAATCAATAAATACAGAATATTTTTATATACGAAGACGTACACACAGGTCAATACTTGGCCTGTCTATATTTCAGTGTAAACAAGAGTTGATATTTATAAGAGCTGTATCGCTAATGTGTTACCAGGAATATATGGCCCTTATTTCGTCTCTATTTCTGGTTATATACTCGATGGTGTCGGATGACATATATATGAGTGATGCTTATTTTTTCGAAGTTATGTGTAATGTCACAGTACTCTGACGTGTGATATTGCAATTGTAGTATTAGGTACTTGCATTACTTACAACTATACTATAAAGAAAAAAACAATGGAATTATAACGTGGAAATTGGAAAAATGGAAATATTAACTGCAGGAGAGAAGGCGAATCTCTTTGCCTCACTCTTTGCAGAAAATTCGCGTCTGAATGCCGCAGGGAATCTACCACCTTCTTTACCTCACACAAGCGACAGTATGGCGCCAGTTCGCATACGTCAAAAAGAGGTACTCAGAACTCTGCGGAATCTTGACGTGAATAAGGCTAGCGGGGAAGAGGAAATGCCAGCAGTGGTCCTACGTAACTGTGCGCCTGAGTTGTCTCCTGTTCTCACACGCCTGTATCGTCTCTCACTTGAGACTGGTGTAGTTCCCAGGTCGTGGAAGCTTGCAAACGTGCAACCCGTGCCCAAAAAAGGAATCGAACGGACCCTGTCAACTATCGAGCCATTTCAGTCACTTCCTTACTCTGCAAGATTATGGAACGTGTACGTAATAACCGGTTCCTGTCGTACCTTAAATACAACGATCTCCTGAGTGATCGCCAGTTCGGATTCCGAAGAGGGCGATCTACTGGGGATCTTCTTGTTTACGCCTCTCATCTATGGCGCGAGGCTATAGAAAGACATGGCGAACCCCTTGCAGTGTCTTTAGACATTTCTAAAGCTTTTGACAGGGTCTGGCGCACAAGCCTTTTAAGCAAGCTTCCCTGTTATGGGCTTCCCACTGACCTTTGCAATTGGATTTCTGATTTCTTGAGTGAACGTTCGATTCAAGTGGTCTTAGGATGCTACTCTTCCGAACATCGGGCGATTGATTTCCTCAGGGTTCCGTACTGTCCGCAACTCTCTTTCTGCTGCATATCAATAATATGTTAATTCCATGTGCCTGTGGGTATGCTGATGTGCTGTCATCTGTTTTTGACAGGGTCTGACCTCTGAGGACCTTTGCAATTGGATCTCAGATTTCTTGAGCGAACGTTTCATTCGAGTGGTCTTAGAAGGCTACTCTTCCGAACATACATATCATTCCGAATATAGATTTCCTCAGAGGCCGGAGTACCTTAAGGTTCCGTACTGTCTGCAACACTCTTTCTGCTGGATATCAATGATATGTTAATTCCAGATACCTGTGCGTATGCTGATGACAGCACAGTTGTGGACAGATACATGGTCAATGCAAGGGTCAGTGGAGAAGAAATCCAGTGTTGTGGAGAGTCCATAGTTAGCCGTTTGAATTTGACACTCAATACAGTCTCCGGTTGGGGCGATGCCAACCTTGTCAAATTTAATGCTACCAAAAAGCGTGTCTATTCTCCACAAAACGGAGACCCTTTCATCTGACTCCGACTTTTCGTGATTTACCCATACAATTGCCGACCGTCTCCAGCTTCTTGGTATGGACATGTCGTCCAATGTCAATTTCGGCAGATACATTGAATCACCATGACCAAACCATGACAAAACCATGGCCAAAAATGCAGCCAGGAAGCTCGGCGTCCTTTCTAAGGTGAGGCATTACTTCACACCGGGACAGTTTCTTCAGCTATACCAAGCACAAGTCCGGTCGTGTATGGAGTACTGCTGTCACTTATGGGATGGCTCTGCTAAATACCAACTGGCCACCTTGGACTCAATCGACAAACGTGTCAAGTGGCTTATAGGTGACTCGGAATTAGTAGAGGCGAAGCTGCAGAACCTTGAACCCCGCCGTAAAGTTGCCTGCTTATTGGTTTAAGATAAGGAATATAGTTCTAACTTTCTTCATAAATATTTCTTTCTTCGTTTTTTCTTCATAATATACTTAAAATAAAAATAATCTTTGTGAAGACTGTAGTTGTAATTTCAAAAGCCCGCCCAAAAAACAACTAAAAAAATAGAAGAATAAAACTTATCACTTTCACCATTGACTTACAAATAAAACTTTCACCTAAAAATTTAATGTTTATTTTCTATACAAAAAAAAGTATTTTATTTTTCTCTGAAACGATCAACTTTTCAAGAAATTACACACGAATAAAAGTTGTCAGGTATCCCTGACAATGATATTTCCTTATTTATAATATTTTAAATAATCACTCAGACACTGCGCCGCTGCCACCTCGACCACGGGAGAAGGAAGACAATGTTCTATGATCTCGACTTTGCAGTGGCCCTTAGCTAAGAATGTGTTTAAGTAGGTACAGTAGATATAATTATATACGAACGAATCGATCACCAGCTTTCGGATATATCTCTTTTTTCTGTATATACTGGGCTGTTCTGTCTATTATCTTCAACGTATACTCATAATAAAAGATGATTATTTTAAATAAATTCTGCTTCACCAACGCTGATATTGCGTTGGAGAGCATTTTGAACGAGACTAAAGTTGTACTGTAAAGAATAAATTATGCCTGTTTCACGTACACGTCGCATGATACGTGTCGTCTAAATAAATACAGATGGGTTTCTATCTGTCTAGTTCTCTCTGCCTAATTTCGGTGGCAATTTTTATTGTTTAAATATTGTAGAATATTATCATGAAGTATTATTAACATTCGAGGGTAGTAATCTGAAATATTCTTTAACATTTGACGATAATGTACTCGAATACTTAAATAATTAAAATTGCCACCGAAGACGTTAAGTAGAGTGTTCAACCTGAAAACCACCCAAATATGAATTTCAAGTGCCCAATAATTATTATATCGTTTAGAGTAGATAGATAGGTTCTTACGAACTGACTATCGATATATCGAAGTGTTGAAGTGTTTGTACAGAAACACCACTATGTCAATTAGAGCACGAGGCCTATCCAATTGCAAAGAGGAGTGCGACAGGGAGACGTCATTTGTCCGAAACTGTTCACCACTGCAATGGAAGATGCCTTCAAGTTACTGAACTGGAAAGGAGTCGGCATCAACATCAATGGCGAGTACATCACTCACCTTCAATTTGCTGACGATATCGTGGTCATGGCGGAATCGTTGGAAGAGCTTGGCACCATGCTCGGTGACCTCAATAAAGTTTCCTAGCAGGTGGGTCTAAAAATGAACATGGACAAGACGAAACTTATGTCGAATGTCCATGTCGTACCCACCCCTGTAACAGTGGGAACCTCTACTCTCGAAAGTGTTGACGAGTATGTCTGCCTCGGACAAACCGTCCAATCAGGCAGGGCCAACTTCGAGAAAGAGGTCAGTCGTCGAATCCGACTCGGTGCCCAGCTTTCGGGAAGCTCCGGGACGTCTTCTCGTCCGCAATGTCACAGTCCTTGAAGACAAGTCTTCGAGCAGTGCTTGTTGCCAGCGATGACCTACGGCTCTGAGACGTGGTCACTTACTATGGGCCTCATAAAAAAAAAGCTCAAAGTCACTCATATGAAGCGAGCAATCCTCGGCATTTCTCTACGTGATCGAATTAGTAATGAGGAGATCCGTAGAAGGACGAATCTCACCGACATAGCTTGAAGGCTTAGCAAGTTGAAGTGGCAGTGGGCAGAGCACATAGCTCATAGAACTGACGGGCGTTACGGCAGAAAGGTTCTTGAATAGAGACCATGAACCGGTAGGCGTTCAGTGGGACGGCCTTCTACTAGATAGACAGATGACCTGGTAAGGACGGTGGTTAACCGATGGATGCACGTCGCATCCGATCGACTGGACTGGAAACAAAAAAGGGCATAACAACTTCTTTGAATTAATGGGTTGTTTTTTAGCCTAGTTCATATTATTATTATACGTTAGATATTTTTAGAATTTTTTTTACGTAGTATGTAAAGGTACAAGTTGTCAGGATCGTCATGATTTCGTGCTTAAATTTAGTTCATATTATTCAAAGGACCAAGGTAGTGCACTGGTCACATACATAAGTAATAATACTTGGTATGGTAAATGTATGGTATTAAATAAATGTACTTATTTCGCAGCATCCAGGTGGCGAAGAGGTGTTGCTGGAAAAGGCCGGACAGGACGCCTCGGAGCCCTTTGAGGACGTCAGTCACAGCTCCGACGCCAGGTGAGCACTCAATTCAACTTCAAATTATCTTTATTTCATCATATTATTTAGTCATATTGATTAAACTTTACTGCTCATTCGTAAGGCAGATTCCCCCGAGAAGAATGAGCAGGAAATTCTAAGAGGTTGGTCTTTGTAAATATACATTTGAATACATTTATTATTTACAATGTTTATATATTTGAATCACCTTAGATCGAGACCACCTGCAAGAGCTAAACAGGTCACTACCACGGATATTTGTCGTCCAAGTACGCAGAAGCTGTATAATAAGTTTTAGTATAAAGTTTTTGTTTCATTTATAGCTTTAATCCTCGTAAATGGCAAATTTTGAATACCACCTGGAATCTTATTATACTAGAAGCGTATGCATTGTCCCTTAAATGAATTTGTGACTTTGTGAAGACGGCTGTCAAGAACAGCCAGCTCATTTTTATTCCTCGTAATAATGTTATGTCTGCACCATTTTTCATATAGGTATAATACTATTCTTCTTAACATAAGTTACATTTTCATAGATGCGGGACGCTAGTGTAAGAATGTTTACTTAAACTTAGCTCCCAAAGACATATTGGGGTCCAGATTGCGAATTGCCATAACCGCATGATTCTGCAGGGCAAAGGTTCTATTAATATTGATGCTTATCGGCGGTATTACGCCAAAGCAAGATGCCGTATGTCATTCATTATCATTAAACTGTGAAAGTAGCTGAAGTAAATCAATCTAGCTGTTTCGACGTCTGAAAGGTTTCGTATTTTTTCAAACGCGTACCTACACTGCAGATCCGAGCCGTTACTTACTTGTATCCAATGGTCTTATATGTGCTTATACATTTATTATTGACTTCAAGGCAATTTAGCATCTGCAGTTATACCTACAAATACAACTGCATCTACAAGGTTCAATTTTTTGCTTCTAACTATAATGTGTGTGACCGTCTGTCTAACATTGGGTAATGTCAATTTCACACAATTGGTTTTTTTCTCATTAAGGAGCAGGTTATTAACTGCGAACCAATCTACTAGTAGGGAGGTACTGATATCAGTGACAACTTTTATTGTCCGAGTCGGTACCCAATTAAAACGTGGCTGTTTCCAGGTCTTTAATGAAGAAGTATAAGATCGGCGAGCTGGTGGAGGCCGACCGCAAGGCGAGCAAGGCTGCGTATGCGCCGCAATGGAGCAACGACCAACCGCAGGAGCAGGGCAAGTGCGTTCTCGCCTAATGTACCTACTGAACCCTATTACCATGGTCCCCAGAGCCCGCCTCCGGCGTACTGCCTGCTAGAAACACCCTATGCTAATATTCAAAAACATCCAAGTACAACACAAGAGTTAATCTACCTACACATCGACGCTAAGGACCGCACTGCGCGTTAGCGCACATTTTCAATTGTATTGTGTTACGCACCCTTAATATTATTAGGTTAGTATAGGCACATTAAAATTGCACATGGCTCTGTGTAGGTACTTACTTGTTGATCACATAATTTTGCTCATGCTTTAACTGTCTTCTAATGTGATATTTCATGATCTGTATGCTCTCACAAGTAATTAATGTAATATATGTATGTACCAATTGATAAGTCCAGACAGTGTAGTATCTGTCTATATAAAAAATTCTGAGACTGGAAATTGCTAAGTGAACTTGTCCTCATGTTTGAGAGAAATAGGTTTTTACAGAGTTCCGACGGCACCGACGAAGTCTCAAGCAGAAATCTATATACTATAATAATAAATTATAAACATTAAGGCCAATGATCTTGAAAAAAAAAAGACAATATATGTAGGTAGCAGCATTATGTAAGTAATATTATTTTGAAAAAGTATTCATAGTATTACTGTTATTTATCACGTATTATCTACTAGTAATTTCGCGTACTCGAAACTTAGGTAAGTTAGTAAACTCTTGAGTCGAGCTGTTAGAGAAAATTTACTTTGTTCCGATACCTACTAATGTACAAGAAGCGGACTTCGCCATCCGTAAAACTCGTTATAATATATTATATACAGATTTAATGTCTATGAGGAGGTAAATATTTACTACACTTTAGTATCTATAACAATATTGTCGGATATCGCTTCACTTAGAATTTCATCGCTCTGACATGCTGTATATTCTGTAGAGTAGATAATCACTACTAGTTATTTCATAAAATATATATTATTGTAATCTTTGACCAATAAAGCGTGTAATTCCATTTCAATGGTTTCTTATTTTCTAGCGTCATCTGCATTTTTGTAAACATTTAGTTTTTTATTTTCTACACAGACCCATGGGCATCAATTTCATTTCCTCGTTAACTTTGTTTTTCCCCCATCGCTTCGTTCATTTCGTATTTCACATGACGTCGACGACATCTCAAGGAGTTTTGATAGTACTAGCCTAAACATGAATCACGTCGTTTTTGGTCGACATAATCGTAAGTAGAGATTGCACGTTTTTGAATAGCACAGCACTGCTGTGACATTTGTGCGTGTGTTTTTCTGTATGTTGTTCGTTTGTGGCAGCGCGTGGAGCTCGTGGCTGACGCCGCTGCTGCTGGGTATCGCCGCCACCATCATCTACCGGTACCTGTTCGCGTAGTACCGCCACCGCGCTTACCAACACCACCGACCTGACCGCCGCCTCATCCTTGAAGGCCGGTGCGCACTTCGAGGTTTTCCATTTCTCCGCTCAGGCTATTGTAAATAGCTTTACTTTTAGTCCAGTCGGATAATGTGATGCCTAAGTATTCATAAGGGAAACGATAACTTTCAATTACACTGTGCACTTTATTTTACAAGCCGTCACATTGTTTTACTTTGGTCTGATTTTTAAAGTCGTAAAATTTTTTGACTTGTAATACAACTTGCTAATATAAATGTACTGACACTCCATGCATTGTTGTGCGCTTATATGTTAAACAATATTTTTTTAAACATTTATCAGCATGTGGGAGTACCTAATAACTTTAAGGATCGCAAAAGCGACAGCCAAATCTCATATATTTACCCGCCTCGTCGTAATATTATACATTTACGGCTCTCCACTTGTACGAAGTTGTGACCGAAACTTGAATTTGAAATAAACAAAGCATTTATAATAACTACCATCTAGTTCTAATGAAGAAACACACTATGACTATGTGATTGGTTGTAACCTCCAAAAGAGGGCGGTATATTCAAATGATAATAATAGATCTTATATCTGTGAGTGTACTTTGAGCTTGTTGTAGACATGGGGGCGGTATGATTAGAGTTTTATACTTGTATATGGATAAGTGTTACAATTAGCTAATGTGTATAAGGACTTTGTTATTTGCAGCATATTATTATTATTACATAATCTTTAATATGGATACATAAATTTTTTAATTGCCGTTCGATAAAATGTCATAATAAATTTACTACATTTTATTGAAAAGCATGCATGGTAAGGGTTTTTTGGCAGAAGAGTGAATAGTCTAGGCTATGCTCTATCTACCATACTGAGATATGATATTTTTAAAGGGGAAATTAATTTATGTAAAGATAACAAGCCATGTTTAATGCAGCCTTTGACTTACCAATTCGTGGATGGCACAATCTGAGATACTCTTTACTTACCCAGAAACAGTGCACAAACTTATGTATATGGAACTATATTTTGAGCCATGTCTTTTAATGTACTTATGTTCTGTGCATTGTTAGGTCAAGGCATGAAATCAACTTGAGCGACACTGAGGAAGTAACTTTCAGATAGATAGCCATGCATATAAAAGGGGTCTAAAATATACTATAATCATTGCTTTGTTAAGTGCATATAATTATATTACTTAAGTTACTACACTGTTTTTATTTTCAATTACTTTTACTACCAAATACCATAATCAAGTTCTTGCATCAAATGCTTATATTTAGGCAGGTTAAGGTCTAAAATTACGTAACAGTCTTCTAATTTAATTATAACAATTATTACTATTATTTTTTCTTCTAGAGGGCTCTAAATTCAACTAATTGTAACATGACACACAAACAGCTGTTGCTTCACACCTGGAACCAAAATAACATTTATTCAAACTCCCATTTTGAATATCACTTAGTATCAGCCTTTTCTCTGGGTGTGTATTTTAGTGACCAGGGATATCCATCAATAAGGTAAGTATTTAAAAAAGAATTAAGTTCAACGGTTGTTATTGAGTAAACTTACATTAACATTTTGAAATTCTCATTATGACCTAATTTTACACTTGAATAATAGGATTAGTAGTGATGTATGATGACCAACCCAGTTAGAGTGCATGAGGAGCAGTAGTTGCCTCTGCAAGTGGTGCAGCAGAATCTGCAGCTTGCACATAGTCCAGTCTCACAGTACTCACAGCGGGCCTCTATAAGCATGCCGCCACAGGCACAATGACACTCACCGACACCTAGCTGACATTTTTGCTCCGGTATCTAGGGCAAAATTTCAAATTAACATTTTTCCTCATGTTTCTCCAATATACCTTTGAGTGTAAAAAGGTTATGTTCATACAGTCCACTGCCGTGACAACATTCCGTTCCTTCCAATGCAGAGTTGTTTCATTTTGTCTTTTTTGTGTGGAGCGTATTCATCTGCACTGGCGACGATGGGTGCCACGTGCGCGGTGGGCTTCTTTGCGCCGCGGAACAACAGCTCTAATGTTTTTTCTACGACACGACAAGAAACGGTAAAATTAGTGTGATCTTCGCGTGTGTGTTAACTATACGTAAGTAGACTTGAACCATAAATGAAAATATAAATAAGTAAGGCAACTTCTGCTGAACCTATGTATTCTATATACAATCTCAATCATCGGTATTTACCGTATACTTTCTGCAATCTATCTTCGTTGTTGTTGAACTGTTTAATTCCTACATGTATTTTGCTTTGCGGTACGAAATCCTCAATAAATGGATTAGCTCTTTTGGCCATAATTTCTTAATTCTTTGCAGCGCACATATTCCAAATAGTGTTTCAAAAATACCCTCAAAACCAAATAACACAGTAGGTAATTAGATTAAGACTAGTAAATAGATGAATGATCCGACGGCTTCCGTCTACAAATTAGAAAGATATAGTTTTATTTATTCAATTCTTAATATTCCGTCTACAAACTAAAATTACTTATCCAAATATCTTTTTCTTGGCCAGAATAAAATGACATTTGCAGGGTTGCCACTTTTCATAAAATTTTAAAATAGTCACATGTGCTTAGATACCTATAGTTTTTTTTTCTGATTTCTCTTGGCTTTTCGCGGTAACCTTTTTAGCCACTTACAGAGTGTTTTGGAAGACGGAGTAAGATTGATTACATACGACGACTTTTTAGCAGCGATGCAAACACGCGTTCGTGAAACGCGCTATTGCAACGCTGCACTTGCGATCTAAAAGCGATTGCATCGATTCAAACACGCGACTTCATCGATACGAACGCGCGATTGCGTCGATATAAACACGTTGAATAATTATGTACGAAAAATCTGTGTTTATGCACATTATTTTGTTTTCTTAATTATAAATTTAAAAGGCAAATTAATAAATACATTAAATAAATAAATTAATTAGTTTAAAACCTGCATCGCCGTGTAAAGGTAGACGATTAGCTACTGCATTGCGTTTGCATCGCTGCTAAATGTCGCCGTGTGTAAAAACTATTATCCGCATATCACCGTGTACTACATCCGTGTCATATTCTACTAGCTCGAGGAATGATACAAACGAACTGACACCGTTGGCGAAACTAGTAAAAACACAAGTGCCTGCTAATACTTACCAAAATAAATATTCTCGCTGTTGTGTACCGACGTACTGCCTGTACTGAAATTGCTGACTTGTATTGTAAATTAAGTCATTTGAACTACAAATTACCATGTTTACCTACGACTACACATAATGTGTGAGTAACGGTACACTCAAACGGTACAATCAAAACGTTCGATCCTATATTATATCGACGGTCCAGGGATATTTGTGTGGCTGGTATAAACAGAACACTCACTTCATTATAATATTTATTATAAAAACTACATGTTACAAGCGTACACAACAGAGTGCGTCATCAATCGATGAGCGACCGCATATATCTAAGTATGAAATGCTTACGTGCATACATGTACATACATAATATATTGTTGTAATTAAAATAAGTATAAAATTTATCTGAAAAATATAAACCGGGTCGCAAATAAAATTGTATGTAATTATGACAATATGGTATTTAGAAAGTTATATTTCTTGCAGTAATCGGAGTCGGTATAAACCATTATTTAGTGTTGTCTTACAAAAACCTATTGTGTGCAAATCAATACATTTTCATATTGTATGATTATGATAAACAAATGTGTTATCTCAATTGTTCTTATCGACAAATAGATATGACACACCTGAGATTACCAATAGGTAAATGAAAACTGCCAATAATTATTATAGCTTGGTTCGACTCCTACCTTAGAGGCCGCTTCCAGTGTATTCGCTCTGATGAGGCTTCCTCTGATTGGGTGTGACTTGATGCTGATTCCTGCTATTTGGATGCTACTGAAGAGCTGCTAAATAAGCATGGACGACTGCAAAACCTATAAAATATGACCGAATTTCACATTTCCGCAGTAAGCTCAAATGGCTTCCCATCCGTCTCCGCAGGAATTTGCATATTGTTTCCATTGTTTATAATGTTTTACATAACCCTGTGTCTCCCGGGTACCTGAAAGAGCATTTCAGCTTTCTTATGTCCCAGGATAAACCCTGTCGCTCTCTTGTTAGGTCCCTGTTTTCTTTTCCATGCTTCAATTCCGGTTTCTATTCTCACTCCTTTACTGTTCTTGCGGTCAGGCTTTGGAATGCACTTCCTCTTACTGGGGTCTTACCATTAACTCTTATCACGATTCAGTTTAGGACCTAAAATAAATCGTTGTGGGACAGCGCTTCATGAAGTGTATATCACCATCCCGCTTTTTTGTCGTTACGAACCTATACTGAACCGTAATAAGAGTTCATGGTAAGGCCCCTGTTCACGATAGTAAATCGTTAGCTATTTTTAAAGTGATACTTATTATGTGTCTACTATTCCATCCATATCTTAGATATTATATTATAACACACACGCACACGCACACACACACACACACACACACACACACACACACACACACACACAC